TTAAATATTTATTAAAAGCATATATTTTAAAATTAAATATTATAAAGATCATATCATATAGTTATTTATAGTTAAAACTAATCAAAATTAATAATTTGTGTAATTATAGGGAATTTAAAAACTAAATAGCCAATTTTTGTAATTTTTATTAATAAACCTTTAAAATTTTAATTCCATTGCAATTATTTAACGATTATATAATTTATAACGTGGTTACATTAAAAATGATCTATTTACACCCTATCTTTAATATATATATACTTTAGAATTTTGACAAATTAAATATAATTTTATTAAACTAAATCATATGGTAAATAATCTACATACTGTATACTCATTATGGCGCATTTGTGAAATTAAGTAGATAATTTTGCCACCAAATTTAAATTGAGACCCTAAATTTCACAATGATCTGATTTCATTCTAATCTGCAACAAATATTGATTAAAATGAAATCGGATTAAAATGAAATATTGTACAATGTAAAAAATAGACGAGCCATCGAAAATAAAAATTTTTGAGGTAGGGTTAGGGGTTAGGTTTAGAGGTTAGATTTAGGGTATAGTTTATAACAAACAAGTATAAATGGATTTAGAGAGTTAAATAGATCCGATTTCATTATGATCCAATCAATGCTAAATCACGAAAAATTTTTTTGAACCTTTGATCTATACTGATAACACGTCTAACCAATCTTCCCACCATTTAACCCGTCTTGATACATTTCATTATACATATAATTTATATAAATAATGATGCACCCTAACTTGAGAATGTTGATTAGCACAATTGAAAATTAGCATTACATATTAATAGTTAAAATTTTTAGATTTTCGAATCGCCATAATGCATACCCCTGGCCCGCATTATGCCAACTTTGGCCTACATTTAGGATCTGCAATAGGCCCGGGCCGACCCGTTGCAGACCCTGCATGCAAAAAAGGGTGCTTAATTCGACATACCGGGTTGGTTAAAAGTCTCTAAACAGGTCCCATAAATCTTAGCGGATATAGTAAAAAAAAAGGACCTGTTTAGAGACTTTTTAACCAACCCAGTATATAAAGTAAGTTTCAAGTTTAAAGTATTTATCTTTACACGGTGTATCTCATTTAAATTCATCAATATTCGCGTAAATTTACTGGATAAAATTACTGACCAATGTAAATATAGTGAGTGAGAATAAATATCATTTCATTTATTAATCGATGTATTCGATAATTTAAGTCAAATCATAGTTAAGGAAATAATGAAGCATACACATTTTAATGTTTATAGGCACTTCTAAATTTAATTAGTGTATCTGCGCACATATTCACAATAAAACTATAGCACAGCATAAAGTCCTTCACTAAGGCTTTGTTCTTGCAGAAAATTTGTTTTTATCAGATTTTACTTTCGTCAGAGGTTTCGTCTTTCTTCAAGAGTTTGTCTTTCTTTCGCGAAAGTTTCATCACTTTCATATTTCAAGAGGTCTTTTGTCATTTTATAAAAATAGTTTTGTCTAACAACACTTTAGTGATTTCGGCCAACTGGTGAATAAACTAGAAAAATCACCATTCGGCATTTTCTAATCAATTTTTGATATGTTTGATTCTAATTAAAAAATTCCGATTTTTGTTTATACACAGTGCCGATGTCAAATTGATAAATTAACAAAATATTTTAATTTGAAGAAATCAGTTCTTCGAAGACATGAATATCCCAATTAACGAATTGAATTCAAGGAATGTTATGATAATACAGTTGACCCTCTCAAAACCGATCCTGTCAAAGTTGATAACCTTTCAAATCTGATAAAAAATTAATCTACCAAGTCCGTTCCCGTTATATAAATCTAATAGTTTGCTATTTTTTCAAATCCGATAACCTCTTAAAACTGATACAAAACCTGTCCACCATGCATACCGATTCTGAGAGGGTCAACTGTATGCAATTATATGAGAGTAATGATAATTCCTTGGTTGGTACCCAAAAATATGGATGATTTGGAATCCTTATACTGTACATTTAAATGTGAAGTATCAAGTAGCCGAATTGTCATTAGTTTTTGTGTGTGTTAGGCCATTATGTAGATTATTTAATCATTGTTGACAATTTATTTTGAATAGAATGTTTATACGGGAACTTGCATTCCAACACATACGTACTATATAAAAATATGGAACTACATGAACATGCTGGCCTAGGTCAGTTAAATAACTGGTCAACTAACTTGTCAAATGACCTGTCAGAAAATAACTGCCTATAATCAAATAGCACAAAACGTTTACTTTTTTTTTACAATGGACTATTTTATATGTAAGTGATGACAAGTATAGTACTATATAAAAAGTATTATAGTATACTTCCGAAATTAAGCACCCTTTTTTGCATGTAATGCTGGCCAAGATCATCATAATGCAGGCCAGAAGTGCTTATTTTTCGGGGTGCTTAATTCCGGAAGTATATACTGTAGTATGTACTGGAAATTGAATTCTGTAAAGTTAAAATTGCAGGTTTCATTGCCATTATTTACTAATAATAAAAAAAAATTTCGAATAATATTTTTTGCTAGGTGACATTTATATACAATATTCTTTATTACTTAATCAAACTAGTTAATATGAACTATTTAAATTTGTGGCATATTGCTTATTTGAGAATTGCTATCGTATTAAAATTAAAATCTTTGACAGTGAATAACTTTTGATCCACTGTCAAGTAATTCTCAAAATCAGTCAATATGCGATAATTATGCATTATAAATAAATACCTTTTAATTTTATTGCGTTCGCATTTAATCGTCAGTAAAAAGATAGGTTCAAATTTATAGATTTTATCTTTACATGACGTATCTCATTATATTCGTGTAAATTTAATGGATAAGTAAAAAATCATTTGTTAATTCCAGTATAATCTAAATTCACAGGATATAAATAACATTTATGTTCATGCTGATTTAATAGAAATAAAAATTATAGTTTAACGTATTTTAATAAACTATTCAAATTTGTAACATTTGCTTTTACTAATTTTCTTATTTAGGTATGTTTTGTTTGTATAAATATAGTGGGTGAGTATAAAGATCATTTATTAATCGATGTATTTGATAGATAATGTATACTTACACGGATCCTAATTGTTCACCCATTACTTCACGGCGAACATAAAATCCTCTGTGAAAATACCAGCCGTGAAATATCAATTGTGAGAATATCAATAAAAAAGGTCAATTAGGAGCTGTGTAATAAAAAATAATATAATTGCGGCACTAATTTTTTTATTCATTTACAGAGTGTTCTATGAGATCTTTTGTTACAGTTTAGTATAGCACGAGAAATGATATAGTTGGAACTTAAATCTGAAGATTATATAGAATCAACATGAATATATATTAATTATCTGTGATTAAATGAAAATCCATATACTCCTGCAGGTCACCAAGCAAAAAAAAAAAGAACACGCACATAACTGATAATTTTCTTTAAAGAGTAACGTGGTTTTTTTTTTTTGTCAGCTCACACGGTCCATAAATAAATGATTTTAAAAAAGTTTGGTTATGTTTCTAAAACTATTAGTTGTAGCAGGCTTCTAAAAAAGATCATATATAAACTTTCTTGGAATAATATATATATATATTTAAAATAATATTTTTCTAAAAAAATAATGACAAAGCTACATCAGTGTACCGTATAAGCGCGAAAATCAGATACCCTTAAAATAGTATATGTAGCTTCAAATTAACGCCCATGGGCGTACCGAATTAACGCATATCCCTATAAATAAATAAAAAAAGATAAATGAGTAAAAAGTGTTTCAGAACTGGTTTGATATTAAGTGAATCTGTTTTGTTTTAGTTCTATAGGTTGAGATGATTCTAACGGTGGTAAAATCATCAAAAAAAACCCCTGTAGTTGCCTCTTTAAAGCTTTGCAACATTTGTTTATCTTTCTTTGTTTACAGATTATGTAAACAAAAGGTAAACAAACGTTGCGAAATTTTGAAGAGGCATTCGGCCGAACTATATGACTTTTTTTTTGATGATTTTACAACTGTTAAAATTGCTTCAACCTGAAAAACAACTTTTGCTAAAGCCAAAAAATAATTTTACTTAATATCAAATCCAGTTCCGGAGCACTTTCTTATTCTTATTAGTTAGGGGTGCAAATTTCGAAATAACGCGCAGGTCAATTAATTAACGCGCAGGTGGGCGTTGTTTCGTGCTTGTACGGTAATAAGCATTTTAAATATTATCATTCGTGTAATAAATGTAACGTAGTTGTTTTTTTAAACAAAAACGCGTAACTTGAGTTTTTTATAAAACTTTTAGCATGGTTGGCTTGTAAATAATAATGTTGTTAATTGTTAAAATATAAATATAGATTTAATTTAATATAATAAGTTTGAAAAAAAAGATATTTGTTATTCTTTAATAAATAACTTTAAGGGGTAGTCCGCAATTAAAAGGGTATAAAATACGGCGGGCATTTTACTATAACTTTCATATAGTGATGGAATGCCGAACATAAGGGAAAACCATATAGTAAAAAAGAAAAAAGTCTTAATATCTTGTGATTTACACAACCGATTTTAATGATTTTATTATCATTAGAATCGTAATAACACGTTCTACAACTTTAATTAAAGATTCAAAAGATGCTTACTTAGTAAACAAAATACTTTTCACTGAATGAATCGGCATTCCACTACTATAAAAATTTATAATAAGTTCCGACTATGATACTTAGTAATGATTATACCCTTTAACTGCGAACTACCTCTTAATAATAATTGCCAACAGCTCATATATAATTCAATCGTAAATTTATTGATTAATCGTTAACGAGTTAACTCTAAATCCATATAATAATTGATTTTGACATACAACACAATTAAACAGTATCGGCAAGGATTTTAACCGGTCGGTTAAAAATTTCTGATGATAGGTATCGTCATGGTTATAATCGGCCAGTGACCGGTTATAACAGTAACAGAACTCATCACTATGCTGGCCATTAGAGATGTTATCAAGAACAATTAGGGAGGGTAAGATTAAGTTTCTAGTTTCTGTGTTTAAAGTGTTTGTTATTTTTATGGCTAATATTATATTAATTATACTAGCTTGGGCACATGAACAATCTGAACGACCAAGCACTTATGTTTTAATATCGAGCTTAAAGGTTAAATGAAATTAGTTAGTGTTTGTAGCCAATTTTGCATTAGTCGATAAAATCGGCTTAGTCAGTCGATTTTTCAAAAAAAATCGACTTAGTCGACTACACAATAGGATATATGTTTATTAAAAATTTATGCCAGTTTATACTAGAATCCGAAAATTTCCGAAAAGAAAATCAACAAACATAAAATACGAACATAAAATACGAACAAGGTCGAAACAAAATTGAGGAAATCTCCGATAGCTTCCGAAGTTAATCAAATAGAACTTCGAATAATCGAATTTGACTTAGCCGGAAATATCGACTTAGTCATAATGGTCGACTACAAACACTAGAAATTAGTGCTATAGAAGATTCTAAAAATAGTGATACAGTATAATCGATAATAAGAATGATCCATTTGAACGTGATGATATTTCTCCTCTTATTCCTCCATTAGAGGATGGTCTTAGGGCTTATAGAGAACGAGAATGCTTTGAAATCCATGCTGAACCTGGTTATCCTAATTGCCAAGTATTGGAAAGGTTACTACTTAAAATAAAGGGCAATAGAAGCAGTAGGACTTTTTTAAGGAAGCTGTTGATGAAACATCCCAGATGCACAACTATTTGTGATGTTAGAAGCTAATAGTGACAGAGTTCCATGCCTGAATAAAGCCGTTATTAATGGAAATCATTGGCTGTGGCGATTTATTCTTGAATGGAAAACTTGGCACTAAAAAAGATGAAGGCAGTGAAGTCAACCTAAAGCACTAGAACTTAAAAAGCGCAATATTTGTCTAAATTTTTATATAGTACACGTTTGTACATTTATCTTAATTTATTAGGCCATTTTCTAACATTATATGGTACGGGTGGTCTAATCTTGCTGTATTATGATCTACATTACAGTGCTAAAGTTTAATTGTAAAAATATATTTATTTAAATAGTTTATTTTTAAAATTCATATTCAGTTTAACCAATTTTAAAAATTTTGGCATCATTTCTAGTCATGCTCTCAATTTTTTATACTGGTAATAACGATAAAAATTCTATTATGTGATAAAAGTTACGTCCGTGCAATTTCTTAACCTAACCCTAATATTGATTTTAAAAAAAAAGCCGTTAAACGTTTGCTGAGTAAATAGATACATTCTCGAGTTAGCAAACCTTTTCAGACGCTTTGTTGATGAATTAGCAGAACAAATTATCCTTGTAGTTTCGAAAATGCACAATTACAAAAATTAGGGTAGCAACGCGACGTTTTATTCTTTTTTTTTTTTTTAAAAAAAAAATTATATACTGCATAATGGTTAGGGGGCTGACAAATATTAGCTCATTTAGTCCCACCAAGAGTCAGTCATTTGACACAGTAAAATTTACAAAAAATGCATAATTAGGTTTTTGACAGTTTGCG